CACTGATTAGCCAATGAAAAGGGTAGCAGTCGTATGCTAATTACCATGTTTCTCTTTTATTAGTGTAGATAGAGAAGAAGCAAAGGGAAGGCCAGACATTAATGGCATGCCATTTGGGCAGCTTAACCAGGAAGCGGCAACTATGCACTCCCTAGGGAGGGAAGGGATTCAACAGAGGGAAGATAGAGATATACCCAGTAAAGTACCCAGGGAAGGTACTTTTCTATCAATCACATCTGGGGACAGAGATGGTTGGCCAGAATGGGCATGGCCACTGCAAGGGCAAGAAACTTTGGGAATACATAATCCCCAAAAAAAGGAGTTTGTAATCATGGCTTCTGTTGCTCATGTTGCTCGGGGTGCTCTCTCTTGGTTCTCTCGCATTTTCCTGTGTGGCCTGCAGCCATGTGGACCCCACATGCAATGGACTGATGGACTGCAGCCGGAAACACAAGCTACGCTAGCCTGCTTCTGGACTGGATCCTACTCCAACATGGAAAGAAAACTCTGGACACTGGCTCTGATTTTAGCTCTTCTGAAGCCCCAGCTACACTTCTGCTATGCCTGGACTAAGGGAAATGGGTTTTTGGAAACCCAGGGGTGTGATCTCATAGAAATAAAGCTTTCTATCGCATCTCATCCTCCTGTGAGGGCCTCCGGAAATGCTTATTCCAGCAGTACCCCAGGGACACCACCCCCAGCAGCAACTGGGGGAGATGAGCCCCTCTCCTGTCCTGTAACACTATAATTATTAATCCCCTCTACCCCGATTTTGGGCTATTTTGACAGTGGTTGTATGAGCTATGACTGCCCTACAGCAACTGAAAAAATAGATCAGATATATATCTTTCCACGTGAGCCAAGGAAGGTTCTCCCACATGCACACAGCTAGAAGCTAGACCTAGAAGTGGTAAATAATCACTGTCAGAAGCCTAGCCCTTACGTTTCCCTGGAGCACACCACTTCCTTTCCAAACAGTTCAAGATAGCTGGAAGGAATCAAGGCTCCATATAAGGATGTAAACTGATGCCTGTCATTACCAGATGCCACATCTCTGAAAGGACAATCTGTGATACAAGGTTTTAAACTACACAAAGCAAATTGTCGGTTTGGAATAAAAGTGAAGATTTTTTTAAATCACTATTCTCTAGTAAGCATGAAAGGGGGGAGGGGGGGAGAGAGAGAGAGAGAGAGAAAGAGAGAGAGAGGCTGTGGTTTATACTAAAAAAGGGATTAAAATTAAAAGCAGACTGGACTACGGTGGGCAAAGGAAACCTGGTCTTATTCAAAGTTCTGCTACTGATGAGCCCTGTGATGTGATCTTGGGTGAAACCCTCATCCCCTGGGGCTTCCGTTTCTTTGGCTATAAAATGAGGCTGAGCCAGATGATTTATAAGATTTCTTACAGCTGAGAAATCCTATGACTTTAGGAAATAAAATAGATTTTGTATTCAGCAGGCATCAGAAACCAACTCAGGAAACTTAAGCAGGAAAAATGATCTCTACACAAAGCAAATTGTCGGTTTGGAATAAAAGTGAAGATTTTTTTAAATCACTATTCTCTAGTAAGCATGAAAGGGGGGAGGGGGGGAGAGAGAGAGAGAGAGAGAAAGAGAGATCACAAAGCAAATTGTCGGTTTGGAATAAAAATGAAGATTTTTTTAAGTCACTATTCTCTATTAAGCATGAGAGGGGGGGAGGGAGAGAGGAAGAGAGAGGGAGAGAGAGAGAGAGAGAGAAAGAGAGAGAGAGGCTGTGGTTTATACTAAAAAAGGGATTAAAATTAAAAGCAGACTGGACTACGGTGGGCAAAGGAAACCTGGTCTTATTCAAAGTTCTGCTACTGATGAGCCCTGTGATGTGATCTTGGGTGAAACCCTCAACCCCTGGGGCTTCCGTTTCTTTGGCTATAAAATGAGGCTGAGCCAGATGATTTATAAGATTTCTTACAGCTGAGAAATCCTATGACTTTAGGAAATAAAACAGATTTTGTATCCAGCAGGCACCAGAAACCAACTCAGGAAACTTAAGCAGGAAAAATGATCTCTTTACAAAGATATTACTGGTAGGTCAGAATCAAATGGAAGGCTGGAGAACCAGGCTCAGAAACAAGGCGGTTTGGTGGCCGTAGCGGGTATGTTGGGATATCTAAAAGTGGAAACCACTCAACTCTGCGGCTGGAATGAATAAGCTCCAATCATTTTTTCCACCCTCACATCACTGCATCCATAAATCAAAAATAGAGGGTCAGACGGGTCTAGCTCAGGTCACATGCCACTCCTTGGCTGGTGGGCAGTCCCACCAAGAAGACATCATTCAATGGGTGAGACATTGCACCCATAAATCAAAAATAGAGGGTCAAACGGGTCCAGCTCAGGTCACATGCCACTCCTTGGCTGGTGGGCAAGAAACTTGATTCACAGTCCCACCAAGAAGACATCATTCAATGGGTGAGACATAATTCCCTAAGAGGCCATCAGTGTAGGTAGAGTAATAAGAGAAAGGTAATGCCTACTGTGCAGCTCTTTATACAAAACTTGTGTCTGCCTTCATGATATCACACACTGATATCACTTTTCTATGTGAAAATCGATGGGCTATTTCCATCTGAAAATCGGTGTATCATTAGAGGGAGATAATGGCCCCATGACAACATCATAGACACCCATGACAAAATGCTGGGCAATGACACCTGCTTGAGGGACAGCCTAGCATACACCTCAAGGGGTTGTTATGGGGAAAACACAAGCTTGTGTTTTGTTTTTAGTCGGTTTCTCTCTGCGCATCTCCTTGGAATTGAGGAGGAGCATTCACAAGGCCCGCCAGCACACTTCCTCCATGTTTACAGAGCTCTGTCTTCATTCTGATGGTCAGTTCCTCTCCCCTCCTTAAGAAGCAGGTAAATCTTGGTCCTTCCCATCCTGATGGTCCCATTCCACCATCATTGGTTGGTTTAAGGGTGGGTCTGTGATCTAGATGCTCTGACATGATAAAACATCTGCTGGGTGTCAAGGTTTCTTTGCTCTTAACAGGGACATTGTGGTGTAAGGATGTGATGATTATGGCAGCTGTGGTGTAAGGATGTGATGATTATGGCAACATTTAATACAATTGCTTCTTGAAATGGTGACAGGAGAAGCCTGAAGACAAAAGCCAACAAGCTGAAGATGGCAGAGAAGAGAGGAAAGAACTTGGATGATGGATGATGTGAGTTCTTGAGTTAACTAACCCTGGAACCACTCCTCAGAATTTCTGTTAGATAAGATAATAACACTTCTTATCATTTAAGATATTTTGACGAAGGCCTGCTATTATTTGAAGATGAAAGTATATTAACTAATAATCCAAAGAATGATATTCTTCTAGTAAGCAGCAATATTATCTCCATACTAGTAGGCCTGTGCACGAATCTGTGCACCAGTAGCTCGCTGCCACCCTCCTGTAGCTCCCCTCTCATAGCTTGCTGCCCTGCACACTCCTATAGCTCTCTGCTGCTCACTAGTAGCTCGCTGCCCCACAGTCCTGCTGATCCAGTTGTGACGCGGTCAGTCATTATGCTTCACCACATAACGACCATTTGCATATTACATCTTTATTATACAGGATTTTCTTCTGATAATATCTTTAACTTTGGGGAGGGGGTGGAAAATAACTCTTCCAGAAGATTTATGAAGTATCATTTTTTTTTTTTGCCAAAATGTTCTGTTTTCTCCCTGTTCATGCATGCACACTTCATCTTGTCCTTTAAATCACAGAAGCTTCTTTTTAAAAAAAAACAAAAAACTTATCTTTATTGTTGGAAGTATTACAGATGTCTCCTTTTTATCCCCCATTGACCCCTTCCTCCCCACTCCTACCCCCTCCTCAGGCCTTCACCACACTGTTGTCTGTGTCCTTGGGTTATGAATATATGCATACAAGTTCTTTGGTTAATCTCCCCCCCCCCCTTCCCTCTGAGAATCATCAATTTTTTGCATGCTTCCATGTCTCTGGATCACTACCCTCTCTTTACTGAACTACAGGATTTCTAGTTCACAGAGATTTTTTTTAATGTGTCTTTTGGTTGTCATACCTCTGAGGTAGTGATGACATACCTTATTTAGATTTTTAAAATGTAAGAACTTACTTTCACTTGTCCTAAAATCACCGTTCATCAGAATCGCATCAATAGCTGGAGATTCTTAAGAAAGATGTAGACAGAAAAGAGAACACACTCTAACAGATACTAATGGCCTGTGAATTCTCAGCAGGAAGCATGGAGCCTGCAAATGACACACTTATCTTACCGTATTGTGTCTAGTATTATAACCAGTAGTATTATATCTATCTCCTCCACCACCTTGTAAACTCTGTGGGCAGAGAGCAGGCCAACACTATTTTGAATGCTTCAGAGTATCTGTTAAAGTCTATTATTTGAATAAATAAGTGAAATTAGCTTCCAGAAAGCTGACACAATTTAGCAGAACTTGAAGCTTAATTTATGCCTATTGTAAGCCAAGCTCCCATTGATTTCCAAGTCACTTGTCTGAACATAATAGAGGATGTGCAAGGAAACAATACCTTGGCTTCTCAGAAATTGTATAATATCCATTCCTCATGGAGTGTGACACCCCTTAACTCCTGCTGAATATTCCAGAACTGAGCCTGACTCACCTGTTAATCAGGGCTATACAGACAAGAAAACGTGAGACTAGCAGAATTCCCAAGTCTGGAATTCTACTCAGCTAAGCAATTTTAACCAAATAATGATGCCAGGAGATTAAATTGCACCTTAACTCTGGGAGGATAGTTTTATAATTTTCAATGATAAGAACTTCCCTCTTATCTCGATGTGCTTTTCTTGTAATTAATCACTGTAAGTATTTCTGACATGAATGATATCCATAAAAAATATGAAAGCCAAAGGAATCAGAGGACACATTTTGCTCTTAGCTTTAAATATTTAAGTTTCACTTAAATTTTACTTCAATTCATTGTATTTTAGTGTCTTTGAATTTTTTGAAACATCCTCAGTGCCACAGAGGATGTTTCAAAGGCAAGATTTATAAATCCAAACAAATGTAGAAACAAACAACCCAGGCCCTTTGAAGTGACTTGCCAAGAGAAACAATCCATCCGCCAGGAAAACCCATCAAATCAGAATCTGCACCCTGAGCCAAGTAGAGAAAAGCCTGACCCTGTTTTTTGATTCCTCAAAATCAAAATCTCGGGGCCATCCTTAGCTGTGTAATGATGGATGTTCAAGAAGAGTAAGCATTCCCTTCCTATTTCCATGGGTTTCATCAGCTTGTTTCCATGACTCATAATGGCTTCCTGAAAAAACCTCTCATTTCTTTGATCTCATGTGTCCCACGAGTGCTCCCGAGCCAGGATGCTATTTCCTATTGTGCATCCTCAACTGGACTCAGGGGTTTACCAGTTAACTCAGTCCCAAAATAAAGTTATGAGTATTCTTCAAAAGGATTTTGTCCAACTTGTTCAGAGGACTTCAGAAGGATGTTCTAAAGATTAAAAATAAAAAGACAAATATTAATCACACAAAAATGTTGTTACCTGGTAGTATTACCTGAAAAGAATTAGTGGAAAACAAGTTTAAAACTATTCATCAAAAGTGTGTCTTATAAGAACACTAAAAATCTAGAGTCACTGATTAAGGGCTCGTTCCAATCCCATGTTATGCAATGGAGCCTCCATTATATCCAAGAAGACAGTGTGGTAAACAAACTTCTCAGCCCAGGACTCAGGAAACCTAGGGTTTTTTTCAGCCTCTGCCACTACAGTATGTTTGGGTTACTCTCCACTTCTGTAAGTGTTCACAGTCCATGATTCTAGTAGAGAGACATAGAAGCTAGATGCCGGAGACCAATTCCAGCATGTCATAATTGCAGGAGTATCATCAAAAAGTTGATGAGACTTGGGGACTCAACAGAGTTGAGTCACACATGTAGTCACCTGTTGGGAATGGCTGAAGGCATTTCCCCAAACCTGAATAGGATACATTAAATTGATTGTGGCTGCCAGACAGCTAAAAGGCATCTTAATCTACATGTTATTGCCTCCTACTGGCCAAACACCTGAACAGCCGTAGGCTATTCCCCCATTCTGACAATGGACCCTGTACCAAACTCTGACCCTTTGAAGTGTATATCTCTGCCTCGCCTCAGGAAAACTTGTGTTAATAAAAAGTATGGAGTCCTGGGGATGAGGAGAGAACCTAAGACCTTAGACTTAAGATCTTAGAATTTAGCTCCTTTAGCTAAGCTCCTCTGACCCCCAATGCCTTTCAAAATTATATTTCGTCTCCAGACTCTTTATTAGTTTCTGGATTCCTATGTCATCTACGCACAGCCTTTTCCAAATTCCTGAACCCTTCTTGATGCTGGGACAAGAACCCTGGCAGCTAGGCCTTAATCATTCACTCAAAAAATAACTATTGAGCATCTATTAAATATTAGGCAACATATCCTCTGAATGCGGAATCTTTCCATTATGCTCCCAAGTTCTCTGTCAATTCCTCCATCATGTTATTTGACACTCTATTGGAATTAGGGATTCCCTAATCTGATTTCTCCGCTGACTGCATGTTATTTTTGCCAATGAGTAGAAGAATTCCTGGCACAAGCATTTGGCGAATGAACAAAGGGGAGCTCTTCCTATGCCAGGTTGAGCATTCCAGAATGAGGACCAGAATGAGAAGAATCAGGCATAAAAATACCCAGTAATATTCCATTAAAACAATTACATGATTACATTACAGTCTATGTAGAAATTTCTGAGCCAACAGCAGACCCTGATTACACTAAGACCCAACTACTAAGACCAGCCTCTCTCTAGTCCTGAACACAAACATATCCTTGGCACATAGTTTCCAGTTTGATGTATTGAGCCACCTGTGCTGGATTCCTTTGGTTACCTTTTCAGATCTGCCCTCCACTTTCTCCCAACCTGCTGGTACTCTGGGTGGTCAATCTATAGGAACTGCCTCCATCTGGTGTCAGCGTCCCCTGGCTCTGGTTCAGTGTGGCCAGTGGGAAGTACACTGAGTAAAGGGAGAACAGCCAAGCTGGGGTATTTATTCTCTCTCTTCATGGCAACCACAGGCTGTTGTGTCCCCTGACCAAAGGTCACAGCTCCTGTCGGGCAGCCCTCTGCACATACTCCACCTGTGTGTATGTGTGCATGTGTGTCTGCCTCTGTGTGTGTGTCTCCGGGATCCTTTAATCTTAGAGACAGGAGCAGTATCCCCACTTATTAGTCCTATGGTGTCACACTCTCCTTTTTGGTTTTCTTAGTTTAATAAACCCTTTATTAAACTCTTCACAAATTATTTGAGTATATCAATGGTTTCCTATTAGGACCTTGACTGATAACTACCCAAGGATTGTGAAGAATAAATGATCTAGCCTATCACCACCAAGCACAAAAGGATACAACAAATAAATGCTAGTGTGCCTCCTCTTCCCTGTTACAATTTTTATACTGCCTACAATGGCTACCAATTTTGCCTTTAACAGAACAGCTACTTAATAAATATTTGTTGAATGAGTGGAAAAATTTTCCAAGACACTTCTGACCACAGTTTTGAATTCAAATAGATGGGAAGCAATGTACATTAATCTAGATGATCAGATGTTAAATTTAGAGAAGTCTTTAGATTCAGTAATTGAGGATCAGTGGACAGTTCTCTATAAATTCACATTCTCTCTTTTCTCATGCTCCAACTGAAACAATGATTGGCCCACTGAAATTGTGACTCAACCCCAGGAAACAGTGCCAAGGGATGAGTTGACAGCTCAGAGGCACATGTTGGTTAACAGACTAAGAGATTAGTTTACTGGTCCTTCCTACACCTTGGAGAAACAAGTAATTTTATTTCATGTCATTGAACTCATGTGAGCTGATTTTGCAAGTTCATCACTTCCTATCTCCTACTCTCAAATAGAAACGTAGTTTGAAGTATACTTTACTTCCTTGGATCTCTTCGCGTTTATAATGAATGAAGTCAAATCGTCAATAAAGCAGAATCATGACTCACCGTGTATACTGCTTGTGCTGATGGGTCGTGGAAGGCACTTCTAGTTCTGGTATTGGAGAAAGCACCACCTTGACCTGAGTCGAGGGCAGCCTCTGCTTGGCCCCTGCTATTTAAGAAGGAGAACAGTTTTCATCTCTATTTAATCCACAGCAATGCAAACACAGACACAGTGTTTTCTAATATAGTAGGAGAACCAAGCCCTCCATCTACAACAGTGGTTCTCAACCTTGGCTGCACATAAGAATCACCTGGGAATCTTTTTAAAATCCTGATTTCTGGGCCTCGTCCTCTGGAAATTCTGTTTCTTTGTTATGGGGCGGGGCCACAACATTAGCAACAAAGAAACGAAATTTCTGGAGGATGAGGCCCAGAAATCAGGATTTTAAAAAGATTCCCAGGTGATTCTAATGTGCAGCCAAGGTTGAGAACCACTGATCTAGAAAGAATGTTGGCAGTTTCCACCATTCACTGAATTTCCTGCTTACAACTCTGACACCTTTGACCCATTCCTCTCAATTCTGTTTCTTTCCTTTCATTATTCCTCTGCTCCCACTTTCTGGGGACAAGACCTAAAGCATAGTTGAGAAGGAGCAAAGTAGAGAGAAAATGTTTTAAGTAAAATGTCAAGTAGCAAGAAAAGAATTTTAGTTTGGAAACTGACTGCAAACATGTCCTTCTATGGTACGTTGTTGAAATGTGTCCTTAAGAAGAATATTAATGACATCCTTTATTTTAGAGACAATTTTACCAAAAAAGCAAAGTCACAAACTAGGTGAATTCTAATCTGTCTTTCTTTACTATGACCATGTGACTCTATCAAATTCGTCTAATATTATCTTTAGCTGCTTTCAAAGCAGAAGATGAAATGTCATGTCCATGGCATAATGGTATCTCTTTTATTCCACTGGGGTCTGAAGTCTTGCTCTTCTAGTTTTTCTATATTGAAACTTAGTCCTACATAGTATATGTGGTTTTTGCAGATGCCTCTGCTTCTTATACAAAGCCCTGGACATGGGTGGAAATGAGGTGACCTATAAAATAAAGAGAAGCAGGTAGTTGCTTCTTAAAAAGAGAAGTCAAAAAGGATTTACATGTAATCAAGAATATGATGTTTCTTGTCCATGAAGATGATTAACACTGGTATAGTTTACCAAAATAGAAATACTATCAACCCTTCTCTGGGAATTTTTATTGTTTTCATTGGAGAAAATTTTCAATATGAAAAACTTAATTTCTGGATTTAATTTTCTAAATAAATAATACAACATTAGAGAAAATTTTTAATAAGAAAAACTTAATTTTTAGATTTAACTTTCTAAATAAATAATACATTCACATGATTAGAATTTTTTAAACTGTAAAAGGACATTCAGTGAAATTTCTCCCTCTTACCCATATCCTAGACAATCACTTCCCACTGCATCACATACTTCCCTTCCTCTGCCACTGGCAACCAAGGTTATTTGTTTTTTGTGTATTAATAGATGATAAATAAATGGATAGATTGATAGATTTATACTTTTATACATATGTATGTTATTTTTGTCACTCTTTACACAATTTGGTAGCCTACTATCCACACATGTACTTAAGGATATATTTTAGAGATCTTTCCACATTAAGACCTTTCTCATTCCTTTTTACAACTTCCTGGTATTCCACATAATCCATCTATCATCATGTCTTTAAATAGCCTTCTATGTAGATTGTGTCTAATCTTTTGACATTGTGAACACACTAGCAATAAACATTGTACATATGTCATTTCTCTCCCATGTAAATACATCTACAGGACAAATTCCTAGAAATAGAACTACTGGCTCAAAGGGCTTGTACATATTAACTTCGATTGTCTGTTTACAGACATGCAAGTTGCTTCTGATGCACCTTAAAGCTTCATCATGAACTTACTATGCAAATAATTGTTTACACAATTAGGTTAAAGTATCCAAAGAGCCTATTCATGAAACTAAATAATAATTGAAGAAAATGAACAGAGCTCTTTCAATTGGAAAGCCAAGCTGCTCTCCAGTTGCTTATTTATTTGGTTTGCTAATATTTTATATTATGCTATAACCATATTTTACTAAGTGATGTCTAAAGTAACTCTCTAGTGGGGCATTCTCCTCTGTCTCTTCTAGTGACCAGGGTCATGTAACTTATATGCTATAGCAAAACTTCTGAAAATTTGATGAAAAGGCAAAAAGTAAGACATGTGTGATTTTAATAACTTCTTCAGAATAGTTGTTAAAGCAGGTGGAACTTTTTTTGTTCTACCCTGGGAAATAGAGCTACTTTTGAATAATATTAATTCAGCAGCACCAGTTAAGGCAGTAGAAGCAGTCAGACATATTTTAAAACTTCACAGAAGTCTTTTTATGAATTTGTCAAATCTCTGAACCAAGCATTTCTTTGACTTTTTTCAGGAACCTCAGAAGAGCCTAAAACATTGAAAAGAACCCCAGTTGGAGTTTTGACCTGGCTGAATCTAGTGAATAAAATGGATTTCTAGCAGTAGAAACTTTGATGAAAAGTAAAACTCCATGCCTTATGTTCCCGGATAAAGCCTCTATCACCCTGCCCGTGACAATGTCCAGGGTGCCCTCTGGTGATTATTTTTCAAGATTTCTATCACTTTCAAAAAGTTTTTTGACATCTGGTATCTAACCTCAACTCATCCTTCCAAGGTAATTTTTTATTCCCACAGAGTAACAGAAACTTGCAAGATGTTCTGTTCACTTTGCTCCGGATGGTTTTCCTGCCAAAGACAAGGTACATCTCCCATAGTGAAGGCACATCTAAAACTTCCTCATCCTACCAGGCTCTCTGAGCTGCTAAGCGAATTTTCCCCACTAATTTTTTATACTCTTATCTCAAAAACTACTTGTTCAACAATATTTTACTTGATTATTACACTGGAAAGCCAAAATAGCTAAAAAAACAACAACAAAAACAAAAACAAGGAGTAGTAAGTAGGGTTAGGTGTCCATGCAATATATGATCCTCTGTGACCTCTGCTTCCCCAATTGTGAATTTATCCAGTTTTGCTGTAATTGAGTGTCCATGCAATATATGATCCTCTGGGACCTCCTCTGTTTCCCCAATTGTGAATTTATCCAGTTTTGCTGTAATTGCTTACTTGTCTGCCTTCTTGTGTACAAAGATTGTATTTTATGCAAGAGGCCACCTTAGAGCATGACACGTGATGGGTCTTCAGTAAAGACGTGTTGAATGACTGAAAGAATGTCACTTAACTTTTTTGTGCTTCATATTCCTTAATAAAAGGGTGTGGTCAGAAGCAGTACATCAGTCAACTGGGGTGCCACCTAGGAATTTCGGGATAAGACTGCCCTCTGAGAGTTAATCTATCAAATCAACCCACAATCAGAGCAGAAACACACAAAGTCATCTTCAGAAATGATGCCCAGGCCAAAGCCTGTTAAGTGTTAAAAGTGCTGTGTTATGTGAGCCATCAGGCTTCCCCTAAATTGAGGAAGAAGGCCCCCCAACATATGTTGGCAGAGGAATCCACCCTAAGACCTGCCAAACAAGTGTTGACTGTGATTTGACTTCCCAGGTGGTTCTAAGGAGAGAGAACACACGTGTTTGCTCAGAAATATTTTGGGTCGTGTTTCTCTCACTGGGATTACTCTTTGTGAATTAATACAGTGGCCCTCTGGTTTTCTAAACCTATTGATGTGAGCAGGATTATACAAGGGATCCTTCTTTATGTACTACCATTGCAGGAGGCTGAGCCCACAGGCCTGAAAGGAGGCATGGGATCAGGTAAATTCACCTACACGAGGCACCTGTGTGGCTTCGTGGCCCGTGGGCTGCAGCAGCCAAGCAGCCTATCCTGGCAGGGCCCTGCCTCACCCCACAGGTTTCATATAAAATGTCGGCAGTGGTTACTGATCCCTGAACTACTGAGATCATTTCCTTGTGACTTCAGCAAAGCAAGTGCGGCTGCCTTGAGGCTTAAAGGAGGAAAAGAAAGGTAAGGGTGAAATGAGGTAATAACGGTGTATTTTGAAGTACTTCAAAAAATAGAAAGCTCTAAGAAGTGCAAAACAGAATATTTTTACCAGCATTTTTTTTAAGCCCACTCAGGAGGTCTGCTCAGAATTTAGCAGGACCCACATATGTGCTCAACAGGAGAGGGGTAAGGATAGCTAACCTTGGAAATGATGATCTCAGTGTGTCCCTCTCCTTCAAACTTTGGGAGATTCAACCATGAGCCTTCGTGGAGACAGTGGCAATAAATGTCTAAACTGTTACCCTTGAAGTACTAGGTTTCCTCATAAGAGCTTCTCAAAAAAATGCACAGAACTCAAGTTAATCTTAATAACAGATGACTGTGATCAAGACAGATGTGGAAATTTTCAGATGGTTTAGCAATTCTTATTCAGTTCTCTAATCTGGCTTCAAAAAGCCTTCCAGTCTTAATGATTTATCCTTATTGCTATGCAGAACTTTAATACTGCTATACATCATTCTAACCTTTTCGTCACATAAAAACATTGGCACTTTTGTGCAAGCCCAAGATAACTAGTAGCCTTTAAGGGCTAATAGGACCAATTATGGTAACTTAAAATAGATTTCCATTATTCCAGGCACCAACTCCCTACTATGTACAAAGCTTCGTCTGTTATTATTAACAGTGATCCTAAAACTACTCATTTGCTCCAAATCTGGCCAGTGTGAAAATCAAATGAGGATGGAAAAATAAATTACTGCAAAATTATCTAGAATTAACAGCTAAAGAGAAAAAAAATAGTCATTCAACAGACAGCTGCCAATATTCTGAGCCATTGACTCAGTTTCCGGTTCATTCACACTGCAAATATCCTTAATACTCCAAGGAATGAAACTGATGAAGTGTTTAACCATTTTCCTTTCTTTATTTTGAATAGGCGCTATCAAAAGTTATAATTTAGGGGGGGGGGAGTATTTAGAAGGTCTTTGTGCAGCCGTTCTTTCAACATAGTCAATGTAGAGTTTATTTACTTGATAAATATTTATTGGGCACCTATTATGTGCCCTTATATGCACTATGCTATGAGCTGGGGTGTAGTGATGAGTACTATAAGATAGTGTCCCTGACCT